TACACTATGTCTGCCTCGCATGATGCTGGATATCATATGAATATTGTGGTTGTACCTGACTAAGTCCTGCTAGGGTGGACCAAGGCTTTGCCAAGAATTTTGTGCACAGCAGCTCTATGTCTGAATGCCAAAAAAAAAACAACTGCTACACGGCTACATATAGCCTGCAAATTCCCAGGTACTATGTCTGAAAAAGGGCTTTAGTCTGAAACTGAAGAGTACAGTGCTAAAGATGCATGGCATTTGCACGTTGCATCTCTTTCTGTACATTAAATATTGTCTAAAAAAATTTGAGATATTTATTTGTATACAATGTTGCAGATTACTGGTACAAATATACATATATATATAAGCAGATTACTGGTACAAATATACATATATATACATTTTACTCACAGCAGCAGCATGTTTTACAGTGTACTACAGTGCAGTCAGCCTGTGAGCGTTACATGCAGGAGGGGAGCGATCAGGAGTCATCTGACCTCTCATTACATCTGCTAATGGAACTGTTTGTTGAGCCTGCTCTCTGCTTCAGAAGCACCACAGTGTTTACTGTGTGGATACTGCACAAACAAACACAATAGCCTTGCCTCCCAAACACAGTCATAATCATCTGTATGGAAAGAGCTACTACCTCTGTACCAGGTCAGTCACCCATACACAGGTCTGAACCACAAAAACACACAATACACACGCCACTGTCGTCTGATGAAAAGCTAGTAAATAAACCTGTTTCCAAAATACCAGATTTTGTTTGACAGACTCTGCCAACTCATAGTGAACTGTGCAATCCCTCAATTTAAATTTAAACATGGAAGTAACCATAATTTGAGAACCCTGAGAATGACAGTGTGTTTATGTGTGTGAGGACATGTATGGCTGTCTGTAGTATAGTCATATCTTTTTTTAGCCTTGCACTACAAACATTGTAGTTTAAGGAGGCAGTGGGTGCAGAATCTTGTAAACAACAAATGGAATTTATACTGGAAGCAACACAGCACATTGAGTGTTTAAAGAATGTCAGACTTACAGCAGGTGGATCTCAGAAATGAAAATCATGTGGTCGTCTCCAAAGGAAATCGATAATTTCATCATGTAAACAAACATACACACCCACGTATATGTAGAGCTCTGTCTGTGTGTGTTATGTGTGACAGCAGAGTGACGAAAATCATCATGTGAGTACATCAAACAGTACAGCTTAATCTCACAGCCCGAGAGCACACAGGAGGTGTTCTTCTTGGCATCCGCACCCTACTAGAATAATGAACTGACTGCTTGATACAGATGAAGGCAGTTGAATCTGTCAGCATGCAGTCATTGAATAACATCAGGACAGGGATGGAAGAAAAGAGATGAATGTTAGAGAGGAAAGTAAAGTAATTCCTCTTGGTCGTAATTGTGCAGATAGTTGAGTGGTCAGAGTTTTTTTTTGAGTGTATATATAATTATTCTTTATTCTTCATTTGTTTAAATCTTAGTATTACAGGCTAATTATTGTATTCGTTATAACATTAATCATCTGTAGAGGGTATCATTTTGCACTTTCTTCACAAGCATGATGTAACAAACTAGTTATACATTTGCCAAATATGGAGGAATTCTCTGTGTAAGCAGAGTAGTCATGCTAGCAGCTCTGGAAAGTTGTACTTACACCAATCAGCCATAACACTATGATCATTGACAGGTGACACTGACCGTCTTATTACAATGGCACCTGTCAGTGTGTGGGGTATATTAGGCAGCAAGTGGACATTCAGTCCTTGAAAATGATTTGTTGGAGGCAGGAAAAAGTGTAAGGGCAAATATAAAGATCTGAGTGACTTTAGCAAGGGCCGAGTTGCTAGACAACTGGGTCAGAGCATCTCCCACACTACAGGTCTTGTTGGGTGTTCCTGGTCTGCAGTGGTTAGTACCTACCAACGGTGGTCTAAGGAAGGACAAACAGTGAACCAGCGACAGGGTCATGGACACCCAAGGCTCACTGATGATGAGGTTGATCTACTCTAGATAAAATTTTTAAATGTCATTCATTTTTTCAATTTGTTTGAATCTTTGTTAAAATGTTGAAAATGAAAAATACTGACCATTGTTCTCTATGAAGAAAAACACTCAGCAGCTCTAATGGTGATATCATACCAAGAGTGGGGAGGCTCATGCATTTGTCTAAAACATTATCTCTAACTTGTCCTCACAACCACAGACTTTGCTCCTTTTTTATACGTTTTTCACTGAGTGGTTGACACATTCATGCGCTTCTTGACAGTAGAACTATAGAAGAAAACAGATGCACAGTGAGCTACAGAGTGACACGAGTGCCAACCAACTGCTGCACTGAAGCCTGTGTATACAAGTGTTAGGCAGGTGGTCATAATGTTATGACTGATCAGTGTAGTACAGTAGTGTTTGAGGGAAATGCTAAGGTCAGCATGCTAACATGCTAAAAATGGCAATGCTAACATTTTGATGTTGAGAAGGATTTCTACCCCAAACAAACCCCATACTTTAATGCTAGTATAACTAGTTTTGCATGTACTGGGTCATAAACCAAATGAAAAAATGAAATTTTAAAGTGATGATGGTGCTAAATGAAAAGTGAAGTAAGGACCAAAGTTTGTAAAGTTCACCCTGGGGGGAGCATGAATGTGTGTTTTCATGCCAATTTATCCTCACAGTGACACCAGAAGAAAGGTGATAGGATCACCAGCAGAATTCATCCTCACCAAAAATGTCTGTATTAAATTTCCTGCCAGTTCATCCAGTAATTGCTGAAATGTTTAAACAGATCGACTTTGAACTCTGAATACTATACTTTTGTTGCATAAACAAGATCACTTGTAACCACTGACCTTCATATAAACTTGGCTTTCTTTTACTGTCTAACATTTCAGTTTAACTACCCTGACCCTGAAAAACTCACAGAGACAAGGATAAGAAATGTGTTCTCACTTCTGCTCTTGTGAGGATACTTTGTCTTCATAAGTACAACAAAAGAACAATGCACACAAACTACACAAAGCCACCTTCACCCAGAGAAAAACTCTGCCCTCTGTGTAATCCTATCTGATTTCGCCAACACTCTGTTGTTAAAAGTCTCCTCTCACTTCGCAGCCGATTCCAGCACTCCCTTTGAACTCTGCTGCCAAAAAAGAGTAAGACCGCACGCCTCTTTCTTTGACTTTCAGGAATGATCGGGAACATTATAATGATAAAATTGGCAGAGGGGTGAAGAGGTGAGTGGGAGCAGAGAGCCCTAACAAAACGTGAGCAAGAAGCCTGAATACTGTCAACATGTTGTTAATAAGCCTCAGAAGAAAGCTAAGGTGTGTGAGTGTTTGAATTCCTCCATGTATGCAAATTTTTGCATGTGCAGGTTTGTATGAGCACAAATAGGAATCCTTCTGTTAGGGTGTGTATGTGTGTGCAACTGGGGTGATGTCAGGCTACAACCCATCTTATTGCCGGGTTGATTGATGCACAAGATTATCGTCTGATGGGAGAAATTTAAAAAAGCTTTCATCAATGTGTGGTTTGGGCCTGCATGTTTGATGTTAGACTAAAGAAACCATATACAAGGTGAAAGGAAGAGTCAGAGGGGTGGAGGTGAGGGAGGAGGTTGAGTGCTGACAATGGGGTCATTACAGAGCAGTGGGTCCAGCAGATGAAGAGTGAACTCTGAGCATTTGAACAACCCCTGTTATCTTACAAATTCACCTCAGTCCTCTTTCTTGCTTTTGTCTACAGTAGTTCTGTTACTGCCACAATCTCTAAGAGGAATATCAATGTATATACCACATTTCACGGTAAGCCAACCAATAGTTGGAGATACAGTATTTCAACCACTTGGTAATGCTAGAGGAAAGGCATCACCAAAGACTGTGGGATTCATCCTCTGGGGACCATGATCGTCTGTACAGAATTTCAATCCATTTGAAAGTTTATGTGATATCTCAGTCAGGATCACTGCTTTACCTAGATCCACACCTAATGGTGCCACCAAGGGGTGGCCATAGCCCCCATCCTTAAAATTACTGGCCACCCCACTGAGACAAGCCCCAATCATTGTAATTCTTTGCAACACAAGCGCTTAAAAACTGACATACATTAAAGATTAACACATTTGAGTTGAATTTGGAAGGGAGTATTCTCAAGAAAGGAAATCATTTTTGTGCATGATTTTGAGATAAAGCTTTTAAAATGGAATGCCATGTTTGTTTGGTATTAAATTATTCAAATCACTGAAAGTACTGTCTAAAACTATAAAAGAAATGGAATATGAAATCTGATGTATGTTTTGTACTGTGATTGTATCAGAATGTTAGGTCAGACATTTATGCATCCATAATTAATTATTATATTGTAAAAACTACAGATACACCTAGAATTAAAGCCAGTTGTAGAGTTTTTGGCCACCTAGAATCTTGACATTCGAAATACAGTTTCACTTCAAGACTATGACTCAAAGAATGGAAGATACTAACAAATAATAAAAAAGATTATATGCAAGACCGAAATGAAACCTTTGTTATTAACTGATAATTAATACTGAAGCAACCCACACACTTAGTTTATTGCTGATGATACTTTGATACTTTCAATTTGGAATGAATAATTAATGATTCCTTGAGTGATCTTATAAGAATATAATAATCTGATATTCACATGAGATCAACCAATGACTTGAACAGTACACAAAATATTTTACACTATAAAATAGTATATAGTCTATTCACTTGAATATTCTGAAATTCCTTTATGCTGTGTAGTTTTTTTAGTGTGCCATCCCAAGATTCTCTCTGGTCCCAACTGAACCCCTCCACTGAATATTTTATGCAGGCACCACTGCCTGAAAATATTTTTTCCAGGTTGCAACTACCTAAAAAGCAAGAACTGTGGCCAGCAAAAAACAACAACAACAACAACAAAAAAAAACACATCAACTGTGCTTTAACTCTCTCTTGCGCCTCTGTCATGACCTTTGGTGTTTTGTCCACTGTTAGGTCACTTCCTGGGGAACCACAGTGTACTGGACATCCTCAGGCAGGAGGGCTACGAGATCATCCACATGCCCTCTGATCACCAAGAACTAGTGACAGAGTGAGTAATGATGAGTCTACTGACACAGATTGAAACAGATGACAGAGCATAGCATTTGACTAAAGTCCTGGTTACAAAGAAATAAAAATCTGTTATTGACCAACAGCAAATGTTGATGGTTGCTTGGTTACTCTAGAAAACTAATTATTTGACATGTTGGACACGGATAGAGTTGTTGGTGTCGATACATAATATGGAGACTAACTGACTCCAGTGTAACTGAATTATGAGTAGGGAATGATAACAGTTCTAAATAGGCTATCACTTACAGGTTACACTTGTGCTAATCTGATAACCTGATGATGTTACGGCAAAATGGCCTGAAAGACAGCATTTGTACACTCACAGACTCTTGGCAGGCATGTGGATACACATCAGCAGAGCCCATCAGACAGAGATACAGAGAGACTCTATCAGCCACACCCTCACAACTTAGCCACTCCACATCCGTCTTTTCTCTCTAGAGCTGAGGCTTTTAACCTCAGCTGATTTACTGAAGTGCAATGCAGATTCCATTTACACTGTTCAGCTATGCAGGAATCCTTTGATTCCTCAACTCCCTCGCCTTGCTCCCTCCCTTCCTTTCACCCCTTCCTCCCTCTCCTGTCAAAGGCCAGCTGCCAGCAGTGGTTCTGCCTGTTCTCAGCAGACACTGGTACCACGGTAAACACTCACTCACTCATGCACACACACACACATACATATGTATGTGCAGGGTGAGCATAGCACATGGTGCCAAAGATCAAGGGCAGTAGGGTTGCACACACTCAAACTAGCACACCTCACACAGAGATTTGGCTTCTATCCCGATACATTTCTTCACAAAGACTTTCCACAGTTCCCCTTCATATCTCAAGGGTGTGTACAGTATATCCAACAACCATTCCTTGGCATAGCTCTCCTTCCACCTGAGGGATTGATTCATGAGCCAATAAAATAGTAGCAACAATCACCTGAATCAAGGTGAAAATGGAAAAACAAGGGACAACAAAGGGAAATACCTTTAAAAACATAAAAAAATACACATCCATCCATGCAAACAGGGCTTTAGACTATTCCAACAGAAAATTACAGCTGTAAACGGAGCCTCCCTATCTCCCTCTGCCATGTTTGCAGAGCTGTTGGCTTCAGCAAGTGGTACTGGTTTAAAAGCTGACAAGTGGACTCACTTACTGCAGTCACAAAACACTCACAATCGCTGCACACACTCACACAATCACACGGCCACACACTTGCCCATGTGCATCCACACAGATGCTTTGAGTCCCCTGATACAAGGTGATGTGACAGGTGAGGAAAAACACCACATGATGGCTGAATGAGGGGTGTTTATGAAAGCTGGAGGGTTTCGACTCGATTGGCAAAAGGTTTTAAAGAGCGATTTTATGACTGACAGACAGAGCAGAGCAGAGCTGGGTTTGGCTCCACAGTAGTTTGACCACAGGCCAGGAGCTATCATCACTCTGACCAAGCCATCAAGACCTGGATGAGGGGGTTTTGAAGCATGTAAAAGTAGAAGTAGAAGTGCAGACCATCAAATTTAAGATGACCTGAAACAAAACTAAATAGCAGTGGAAATCATGACTGGGATCTATATCATGCTTAGCATTATGATTTACTAATTTTAAAGTTTGATGTCAGCATAACGAATCATGTTACTTTATTTTTTTACTTTCCACTGGTTGTTTCAGTGTTACTTGCTTAGATGAAGTTCCTCCTTGAAACACATGTGAGCCACATTACCAGGAAAAGAACAAGAGAGGAGAAAATATGAGTAATGGGTGGAATTAAAAGAAGCACAGCAAAGGATTTCAAAGAGAGGCTGATGATTCTGGGTGGTCTGCTTTGAGCAACAGTGTGATTACAAAAGTTACAAATTCCTAGAACATTTTATAAAATTTGTATCCTTGATTGAGGTTGTAAGTGGAAAGCAATAAATTGCTCATAAACCACTAACAATAACATTAACTGGTAGCAAGTTTGAAAGCTTAGACAAGTTAAACAGGCATGAGAGACACTAAAATGCTTATTTTTACCTATAAAACAAAGGTATCCATGATATCACTGAATACACTTTGAATTTACGTATATAGTCAAAATATTAAGTGTGCTTCTGATTTCATTTTGCCTGCTCCAGGAATAAACCAGCTAAAGAGCCCAAGGCGGTGACCAGCGAGGAGAACCCTGATACTAGTACAACCTTTCCCACCAGCTGGCTGACCAGTCCACCTGAGATGGAGCTGGAGCTTGACGAGCCAGAGGACATACCTGGTCTTGGGGAGGAGGATCTGCCTCACATGCTGCTCCCCGACAGCCTGAGCCAGCTGGAGGAATTTGGACGACACAAAAGGCCTCGCAAAGCTCACCGCAGCCATGGACGACCTCGCCTCTTCAGTGACCTGTGGGTTCGCATCGGGGATGGGTGAGATATCTGTTATGACCACTTGACAAGTGACTTTTCAGCTCTATAAAGTAACTGAAGGTGTTGTTACATGTTTTTAGAAGTAGCTGGAGTGATGTCCATGTCAGTGAACACTTGAATATACACAGATCAGCCACAACACTAGAACCACCTGCGTGCGTGTGCACAAGACTTAATGCCGCAGTTGGCTGGCACTCGTGTCACTCTGAGGCTCACAGCACATCTTGTGTGAATCTGTTTGCTAGCATAGTTATACTGTCAGGAAGAACACAAATGCGTAGACCATTCAGTGAAAAAATACTGTCTGTGTAAGGAGTCAAAACTCCTTATACAGCCCTTCAACAAGTTAGAGATGTTTTACAATTTCAACAGGTTTAATTGTAGAATTGATTCAGTGACTAATCATAGTTACAAGCTAAACGCTGATTTCTTGTGTCCTCCTTTCTCCAGTGCTACCCCACCACCTGTGAGGATTATCAACGGCTATGTGACAGCGGAGCCTCCACTGACCCATCAGGAGCATCGCAGACGGATGGAGATCTACACTACGGAGCGTCACCCCGTTCCAACATCCCCCACTCTACCTAGTCCCAGCTCAGCTCAGCCAGCCTTTGTTCACAGCACACTCACACTGTCTTGTCTTTTAGCCTGGCTGTTAGCACACATTTTGTTCACCTCCTGACCACAAGACCAGCATTATCTCACAAACCCTCAGACACTACTGCATCCGTACCAGAGCAGCAGAATGCGCCTGATAAGCAAGGTTCGACCACCGACACATTCTGAAAAGAGATAGAGGAATATTTTAGTACGGACATGACGCCCTGAGGTGGAACAATCTTGTTGTCAGCTTCCACCACAGGTGTCTAAAAATGTGTGGAATAAGCCTTTAGCTACTACACAAATAATGATCGAAGTGTATATTGTATAGTCTTCAAGCCTCATGAAAGTATTATGATAGAATAACAAACACAGAGAGCAATGAAAACCTGTACTTCTGAAGAGTTTGTGTGGTGGAGTCTTCTACCTAATTAAAACTGTATAGAAAAATAAGACTGACATTAATAATGAGAACTGAACATACTAACAACAGTAAATGAATTACATGCATACAGTCACACAGTACTGTGTAGGAGCTGGAGCACTGAGTTGCCACTTTTGTAAATTGTGCATTTTGTTCATAAAGAAATTTGTATATTTATTATTTCTGGAAGAAGAGAGTTTATTTTCTTGCTTTTTGAAGATAAATGAAAAAATAAACTTTGAAAACATGTGTGAGGACTACTTTCTTCCCAGTAGATATATCATTTGGGCTGAAATTAGTAGCCATGTCCTGGAAGCAAAATATAATAACCACATAAAAAAATTGTAACAGCCTCCTACAGAGATTCTGTAAAGGAGAAATACAGATTATCTGTTTCTTTGCTTTTATGTACATTCTTACTATTTATGAACTTACAGTAAACTCCTGTTGGATGAAGTATACAGCATCAATTTATTCATTTATTTCATAGGCCCAATGCATATTCATGAACCAAAATGTAAATGTGTTAGCAAAAAAAGGCTCAATGAAGATTTCAAGTTAAGATGGTTCATGCTTTGTTTATTAAAATATGCTGATACTTTACTATACTGTAAAGATATTAAGAAATAAAAGTGAATTTATACTGTGTTAGGCTAGAAGATAACTTTTGTATATATTAAACACCCATATATCATATACTGAAAACATAACTTGCAAGTTAATAACATTTTGTTAAACAAGGCAGAAGCCAGGAGCTTGTAGAAAAGGTTACGTCAGTCTGCCATCTACAGGCTGAAGTAAAGACAAACTGAAACCCTTCACTTTGAGCCTGTTAGGGTTGCATTACAATCCGAGATGGGACTGTGAGTAACTGTGTAAATGTAAATCAGTGTAAAGCACCAAATAAATAAATAAAAGAAACAACAAGAAAACAATCAATCAATCAACAAACTTCCAAAGTGAAGATGCTTGATGGGTACATGTACACAAAAGGTTGAGGAGGTCAAGATATGATGACAAAGAAAACATTAATGTTAAGGAAGGCACAGATCACAGTTTCTTAGTGGAAAGGCAAGATTAGTCACTCCATGACAAAAGGCCTCAGTTCTCTCTGTGATACTGTCAGAATCTTGCATGTACTACTATTATATCTCATGTGTGCAGACTGATTTGGGTCTACAACATTCTAACAACATAAACACAGGTCACAATGCTTTTTAAAGTTCCTTACTAGAAGATCCACAGAGATGCAAGAGCATGGTATTTTTTTTCCTTTAAATAATTACAGTGAGCATGTGGCTAATGCAACCTTACTTTTTTCTGCACTGCTTATGTATTCCACTAAAACATCATAAAATCTAGTGGAAGAACTAAGGTATTCATGATTTTTCTACATTCCAACAAGGCAGCACTGTTGCAATAAAAGAAAAACAACTGGCAGCTGAAACACTGCTAACAAATATGATTTTGTCAGTCACAACTTTAGTGTCAATAGGTATATACAGCATGAGCGAGGAAAGTTAAAGATGAATGTTAATTATGAATTATTACATTATTAGTATAAATTGACGCTCTTTGACCAATTGTAAAATTTAAAATCAAGTGTCCAAGTGCAATTCTAAAAACATAACAGCTATAAGTGATTGTATTACACTACTGCAGTTAAAACTTCTACCACAAGGTGGTGCTAGAGTCACACGGTAATTTCTACAAGAACACAAACTGTAAAAAGCACAGGCTATGTCAAGGCCTCATAACCAGACCTGAGACTGAAGACATGCACAAAGAAAGGTAGGCACTGCATCTTGGATATTATATTTAGATTTCTGTTTGTACAAATGTCTAGTGCTAATTTATCCAGCACTTATTTACCTTTTGAACATTTTAAGCAAATGAAAACTGCACCATTGTTGTGATACAAGCTTGTGAGTTCACATCTTATTTGAATATATTTAAGAGAAAATAACAAAAATATAGATTACAATATTGTAATATTATCTAAGTTTCAAATTTGCATATAAAATGTGGAGATTTCTACATGCTGGCAAATTTTGCAACATTGATCACATTATCCTGTTCAAATGTAGTCACAAGATTATCCAAGAAACAAAAACCTCAGTTAATATTATTTTGCATTTACAAGAAAAATGAAGTTATGAATAATATGCATAATATATATTGTATTTAATGCCAGTTCAGTTCACATTTTTGAACACTGTCAATAAAAAAAAAATTTAGTCTAATGCTTTATTACATAATGAAATGTTAGGAACATTGTGTTTTACTCACTTTTATAAATGAGCAGATAAAAAGTAGTTTTATTCATTTGTGTGAAAAAATCATTTACATTTATCAGTGAAATACTGTAAGTTTAGGATAATAGTAAAATAAAAAATAAATGTTTTTGAATGCAGCACATAGCTGTGAAAGGTGCTAAAACAATTTTACAAATAAAACATACTTTGCATATTGAACTAACGACTGGACACACACACACACACACACACACACACACACACACACAGGTGTCACAAAATGAATCAGTGAAGTGAACCAACCCAAATAACTAAAGTACAGTAAATTTCATTTTGATACACTTCAAACTGGTAATGGCAAAACACCATCAAAATCTCCTGAGATGTTTTAATTATATGCTTTCAAATTTAGATTAATTAGAGAGTATTAATACCTGGCTGAATAAATTTAGCTTCAAATTTAACTTTATACCTATCTTTCAAGAGAGCCTTCACCTCTTGAACAGCCTTCTCTTAAATGGTGAAGAAAAAAAGCGCAGTACGTTTTTTAGAACAAACAGCTTTTTCGCCCCTTTAGCCAAGACGGGACAATATTTGCCTTCGCTAGAATACCATTTTCCCTTGGCTTTGGGGTGTTGTTTGAAGGAGTAGAGGCCTTGACAGGGCGCTCTGAGGGCTGACCCTCACTCTGCCTGGGACACGCCACCAGCCGCATATAAATAAAAGATTACAGTGGAAAATCAATTTCTGAGCAAACTCATTAAAAATGCCCCTCACCTTAAATGATTCCCATTTCCTTTCATTCAACTTGCTAACGTCTCGCTGTCCCTGAAACTGACCGCCCCACCCCCACATCCCCACCACCACTGCCTCATCCCATCCTTCCCTCCCACCTCCCTTTGCCCTGTTGCTCTCCACCGGTGGTAATTACTTGCACAAGTCGTTTTTTGCCCTTTGATTTGCACCGTTTCACAAATGAAGGTTAAGTTTGTTTAACCGTGGTGGATTTGCCAGTCATGTTAAAGCATATAATGTGGCAGGTCCTTGGTTTCTCCACACACCAGCATCCTCTGGCCTGCCACCCACCCCCAATTTTCCCTCCCTGTTTGCATGGACCTCTTGGGGAGAGGAGAGGTGCTCCAAGGTTAAGCTTACCGGGCCTGAGGAAGCCTGCGGTGGATCAGGCTTCAGAATCATTGATGTGAGTAAAAGGGGACCAGGAAGTTGTGAAGAATCACCTCTGGTAGAAGGTTTAGGGATCAAACTGCCATGTTTGCCCTCAGAGGATATTGAGGTGATTTCAGCAAATCACAAAAAATAAAAAGATGGTGAAGAAATAGGAGCAAGATAAGTGATCATTTCTTAGGTTCTTTTTTAGCTCTTGGACATAGAAACGAGTGCTATTAATATAAATACTCCCCTACACAATTTACGTATATTACACAGTACATGGAGCCATAAATTGCTGAAAAAAAGAAGAAATAAACACAGTAAAAGACATCAAAGCATTGCAGTGTTTTTACATTTTAGTGCCATAAGCTCATCTGTGATCAATACCTCACAGACAGTAAAAGTCACCAGACCCAAGGTGAGCATCGATCTCAGCCAGCTGGAGCTGTTAAGTGCATTTCAAGTGTGTGTTGCTTTGATTTCTGAACCACAGCTCGCACACTGATCACCGCAATAACACACAGAGGAGTTTGTTATCACAAAGGCAACACAACATTGTCGTCTATTCTAGCAACAAATGTGCGCACTGAGAGCCACAGAAAGAACAGTGGTTCTGTCTGGTTGACGCTGCAGGATGTTTACAAAATGTCATCTTTTTTTACACTTGACCTGTAATTATGAGTTGCAGAGAACGTCGTCCACCCTCACCATGTCCTGCGTGGTGAATGTTACCCCCTATTTCACAGACAGCTTTGATTCTCTCTGTCTAGCCGAGGGCAGCCATAAAGCTTTGGGAAAACAAAAAGTCTGTTTAGACCAGGGGCAGATAGCGCTTCTCCCTTTAGATAATCCTGCTGATAGTGAATGCAAAGCGGCGCTGTTTGGTAAGCTCTGCTAACACACAGCTCATCTGTGTTTGTGCTGGTTGAGACATTATTCTCTCCCATTGTTCGAGTCCCCTTGAAGATGTGTGGCTTTGAGCGTTAGAACTGAGCCCTGTGGCCTTGTGATGCCTTAACACAGGTCAGGTGCAAGTCTCCAAGACAAAACGACATTTGCTGAAAGTGTTTCATTTATTTTTATTTTGATTTTGTGCTATTTAGTACTGATGTACCTTTTACTGAATTATTTTGAGTAAACAAGCCTTTTCTTGATGATTACAACTAAATGAAAAATGAATAAACACAAATTAAATGATAAGGCTGGTGTTATTTTATCTTTTTATTATTTATGAAAAACCCCAAAAGCCACCAAAAACAATGAATTTCTGTTAATTATCCTACTAATGTAGAAAGTATTGTTTCTATACTCTTATATACTGTACAGTATTTACAAGTAGTCTAATATACTGTAGCTTATAATGCCATGCATACAACTCCAGTGCAATCCAGAAACCATTTAATCATGAGGAAAGGGTTGCGCTGATTTACTAGCTGACTTACTAGCTGACTTACTAGCTGACTTACTCTTTCATTACAATGAACATGGCTGGTGTTTATTCTGAAGCAACTCAAGATGTCACTGAACATGCTTGAAGATGCAGCTCCATGTTTACTCTGTGTTAGTTTGATGAGCGGAATAAAATAAAATTAAGAAAACTGCATGTATACTGTGCTGGAAATACACTGTAGTAAGAGGATAGTAAACACAGAAGTTGCATTACCGGTTCTGTGTTGCAACATACAGTAAGACCAAATAGTTTATTTTTGAGTGCAGAGCTGGAAGAAGTGCATGTGTACCAAGGAGAGTAAAGCAGGTACAAAGGAAAGAGGAGTACCCCATGTG